CTTTGAAAGCAGAAAGTAAAGGCTAAGGCAGAGTTGTAAACTGCTTGTTCGAGTGTGGAAGGCAAGCCCCAACACATACACAGAGTCCATGGCAAAGACTAAAAGAATTTTTGGCTCCAAGCATTTAAGGAAATCTCTGTCTAATTACTAGCTGATCACTAAGCTAATGGAACAGGGACTTCAGCGGCCATACATGACAAGAAAATACAAAGTTTATAGAATTAGTTCAGAAAAGTCACTAACCACCAAAGAAAAACTACAACAAAAACTACAGTAAGTCCAACATAACAACAAATCCTGGAAAGGGAAGAGAATCTGATTTCCAGAGTTGCCAATTTATTATATTCACAATATCCAGTCTTCAACAACAACAATAATTACAAGGCCTGCAAAGAAACAATATGGTATGGCCCATACAAAGGAAAAAAGAAATAGAAACTGCCTGAGGAAGACTGGACAATGGACTTTCTAGACAAAAGCTTTAAATCAGCTATTTTAAATATGTCGACAAGGTAAAGGAAACCATGTCTAAAGAACTAAAGGAAAGTATGAGAACAATGTGTCACCTAATTGAGAACATCAATAAATAGATTAAAATTATTAAAAGGAATAAAAGAGAAATTATGAGGTTGAAAAGTGTAATAACAAATGAAAAATTCACTAGAGGGGCTCAACAGTAGATTTAAAGAGGCAAAAGAATCAGCAAACTTAAAGATAGATCTATTGAGATTATCTGGTCTGAGGAACAGAAAGAAAAGAGAATAAAGAAAAATAAACAAAGCCTCAGAGGCCTCTGGGATACATCAAGTATATCAACATCTGCATAACGAAAGTGATAAGAAGGGAGAAAAGAGAAGAAGGATGGAGGATGGGAGGAGAGAGAGAGAATATTTGAAAAACGAAGGTCAAATATTTCTGAAATTTGAAGCTCAATGAACTCCAAAAGGATAAACTCACAGAGATCCACATCTATGTTCATCATAATCAAACTGTTAAAAGCTAAAGACAAAGAGAGAATCTTGAAAACAGGAAAGGAGAAGCAACTCCTCATTTACAAGGGATCCTCAATCAGATTAACATCTGATTTCTAATTAGAAACAATGGAGGCCAGAAGGTAGTGGGATGATGTATTCGAAGTACTGAAAGAAAAGATAGTAAACCAAAAATTATTTATTTGGCAAAACTATCCTTCAAAAATGAAGGAGAAATCAAGACATTCCCAGATAAACAAAAAGTGAAAGAATTCATTGCTAACAGACTGGGCCTACAAGTGCTAAAGGGAGTCCTTTAGAATGAAATGAAGGGACATTAGACAGTAACCCAATATGAAGAAATAAACACCAGGAAAGGTAAGTATCTAGGTAAATATAAAAGACAACACAAATGTATTTTTCATTTGTAATTCCTTTTCTTTTTTTAATCTCATCAAAAGACAACTGCATAAAGCAATAATGATAAATCTAGGTTGACAGGCACACAATATATAAAGCTTTAATCTGTGACAATAACAGATTATATGGGGGAAAGTTTTGTACACTATTGAGACTAAATTGGCATTAATCCTAACTAGATTGTTATTAATTAAGATGTTAATTTTAATCCCTAGAGAAACACAAAATGTATGTCTGCAGAAAGACTTGTATGTGAATATTCATAGCATCTTTATTTATGACAGCCCAAAAGTAGAATCCAACCAAATGTCCATTAGCTGATGAATGGATAAACAGTATGAGATACATCCATACAATGAAATATTATTCAGCCATGGGAGGAAATGAAGTACTGTTAAATACTACAAAATGGATGAACCTTGAAAATGTTATGCCAAGTCAAACACAAAGGCCACATACTGTATGATTCAAATTACATGAAATGTCTAGAATAGGAAATGCACAGAGATAGAAAGTAGATTCATGGTTGCCAGGCAAGGGGAGAGTAGAGAATTGGAGTAACTGCTAACAAGGAGGGTTATTTATTTATTTTTTTGGTGTGATGAAAATATTCTCAAATTAGATAGTGATGATGGTTGCACAATATAGTAAATAGGCTAAAACCACTGAAGGTGCATTTTTAACAGTGAATTGTATGTTATGTGAAGTATATCTCAATAAAAATGCTATAAAAAGGCTACAGCATACATCACATTTAATAGTGAAATGACAAAAATTTAATAAATAATGTTAATGATGAAATAAAAAATTCCAAAGATGAAAGCTATTTTTTTTTAAATTTTTTTTTTTGTGAGGAAGATCAGCCCTGAGCTAACATCTATGCCATTCCTCCTCTTTTTGCTGAGGAAGACTGGCCCTGGGCTAACATCGGTGCCCATCTTCCTCTACTTTATATCAGACGCCACCACAGCACGGCCTGACAAGTAGTGCATCGGTGCGCACCCGGGATCTGAACCCAGGCCACCAGCAGCGGAGTGCGTGCACTTAACCGCTATGCCACAGGGCCGGCCCCGAAAGCTCTTTTTGAGATTGGAAATCAAACAAGGATACTTACTATCATCACTTCTAGTCTCCATGTATTGGAGATTCTCATTAGCACAGAAGAAAAAAATGTATAATATTAGGAGAAATTATTAGAATTAAAAAATAAATTTAGCAAGGTTGCTGGGTACAAGATTATTATACAAAAATCAATTGTATTCCTATATATCAAATATAATTAGGAAGTGAAATTTAAGAAACAATATCATATACAATGTCATCTAAAATCACTAAATACCCAGAAAATAGCCAGTCCAAGAAAAAAATGTGCAATATGCACACACAAAAAGCTGCAACACATTATTTTAAAAAATATTTGAATGAATGGATTTATTCATAGGTTGTAGAGTCAATGCTGTCTGCATGCCAATTCTTCCAAAATTGATCTATATATTCAATGTAATCCCAATTGAACATCTCAGCTGAATAATTTGTGGAAAATGACGTTTTCTTTTTTTTTTTTTTGGTGAGGAAGATTGGCCATGAGCTAACATCTGTTGCCAATCTTCCTCTTTTTGCTGAGGAAGACTGGCCCTGAGCTAACATCCATGCCCATCCTCTATTTTGTATGTGGGACGCTGCCAATGCATGGCTTGATGAGCGGTGTGTGGGTCCACACCTGGGATCCGAACCCCATGAATCCTGTGCCATGGAAGCGGAACGCATGAACTTAACCACTATGCCACCAGGCTGGCCCCGAAAAGTTACTTTTAAATTAAATTTATATGAACATGTAAAGTGGCAATCTTGTAGAAGGAAAACAAATCTGGAAAATTACTGTACCAGATACCTATTATGAAGCTACAATAATTAAGACCGTGTGGTATCAGCACAATGATGGACAAGTAGATTAATGGAACAAAGTAGAAAGTCTGGAAACAGACCCACAGAGTTATGGACACTTGCTTTATGATACAGGTGGCATTTGTAGAACTGTAGGAGGCAGTCTTTTCATTAATTGGGATGGGGACAATGGGTCGGAAAACTTTTGGGAAAAAAAAAATTAAACTTGATCATTACTTCACACCAAACACAAAAATCAATTCCCGGGGATTACTGATCTAAAGGTAAAAAGTAGAATATTAAAGCTTCTAGAAATATTTGGAAATATCTTTATGACTTTGAGGTAGGAAAATATTTCTTAAACACAAACAAAAAACACCAAATAAGAGAAAGGAAAAGATTGATGATTAATATTAGTAACTCTGGGCATCAAAAGACACCATTAAGAGAGTGAAAAGGCAAGCCAGATTGGGAGAAAATATGTGCAAAAGACTAATTTCTGAAATATATAAAGAACTCTTTACAAATCAGTATGAAAAAACATAGGCAACCCAATAAAAAAAAACTTGAAAAGGCACTTCACATAGGAGGATATCAGTGTGCAACAAACATAGGAAAAGGTGTCCAATCTTATTCATCAAAGAATATGCAAATTAAATCATACATAGATATCACTACATACCTACCAGAATGGTTAAAATACAAAAGACTTGACCAAGTGTTGGCAAAGATACAGAGTAATCGGAATTTTCATATCCTGCTACTGAAGTATAAATTGATACAAACATTTAAAAAAAACAAAACTGTTGAGAAGTATTTACTGAAGTTGACCCTGCAACTTAACTCCAAAAAAAGAAATTTACACATAAGTGTACTAAAAGTACAATAATGTTCACAGGAAAATTATTCATTATAGCTGAAAACTGGAAACAACCCAAATCTCCAACAAAAATAAATTAAGCTATATTTCTAAATGGACTATTCTACAGCAATGAAAATGAACAAACTACTGCTACATACAATAATGGATAAATCTCACAAATGTTATGTTGACTAGAGGAAAGCAGATGCAAAAGAGTACACATGGGATGTGTTATGGACTGACTGTTTGTGTCCCCCTAAATCCATATGTTGAAATCCTAACCCCCAATGTGATGATATTAGGAAGTGGGGGCATTTGGGAGATGATTAGATCACAAGGGTGGAGCCCTCATAAATGGGATTAGCGCCATTTTAAAAGAGACCCGAGAGAGCTCTCTCACCTCTTCCGCCATGTGAGGACACAGCAAGAAGACTGCTGTCTATGAATTAGGAAGAGGGCCCTCATCAGACACCGCATCTGCCGGCGCCTTGATCTTGGACTTCCCAGTCATCAGAACTGTGAGAGATAAATGTTTGTTGTTTAAGCCACCCAGTATATTACATTTTTGTTAGAGCAGCCTGAATGCACAAAGACAGGATGATTCCATTTATAAACCTCAAACAGCACGTAAAACTAATCTGTGGTATTACAAGTCAGGATAATCATTATCTTTGTGGAAGAAAAGAAAGGCAATAACCAGGAGGCAGCATGAATGAGGCTTCTGGACATTAGCAATGTTCTATTTCTTGATCTTGGCCATGGTTAACTTGCTTCACCTTGTGATAGTTCACTGAGCTGTATATTTTATGTACTTTTTTGTATGTATTTTACTCAATTAGACAAATTTTAAAAAGTTTATTTACCTGTTTTTTCTGTGATCTGTTCCTGTTTTCCAGCCAATCATCCATTTGTTCCTCAATTTCTTCTATAGAAGTTCCATGATCATAAGACTGAATATAGGCACTTTCTAAAGGCGTATATACAGGAAACTCAGGTTTTGGTTTTTTTACTTTAACTTTCTTCTGCTCTAAAAAATATTTAAAAGAACCAATTAACATAAGAATATAAGAATAAAAAGAATTTCTAACATTTTATTCATAGACCACATCTTGAAAGAAAACATCAATATTGTTCTTTCACCAAAATAGAATTGCTTTGCTAAAAATAGCCATAAGTTTTATTGTCCATTATCCACTGCATTGTTTTTAAATAGAACTCATGATGAGATGATGATTATGACATAACCACCATTTCAAATTGTGTACATCTTTAGTTTTCAAAGTACTTTTTATGAAACACTTCATTCTGGCACAATGGAAAGAGCCTGGTCATCAGTGTTTTAATTGTAATTTTACGATCTAATAGTTAAAATAATATTGGGCGAGTAACTTACCTCTGAGAACAAGTGTCCATTTTCTTATCTGTAAAAGACAGCTAAATCTAACCTCATAAAGTTGATGTGAGGAAAATTATATATCCCCTAACACACTACTTGGCACAAAATTGGCTCTTAGTAAATGGTATACATTCATCTTTTCAATATTTTACAAAGGCAAAATCTAATCTGACAGCGTCAGGGGTTGTTATCAATAGATGACTATCAATTGGCCTCTTCATTAAATCCCATTTTGATTAGAGAGTTAACATTGAGAAGCAACTCCATTCTTAATTACTATTATCAACCCCCCATCTCAGCCTTATAACTATATCTTCACCATCCTGTGTGTGTTTGTTTGCATATACTATAATGCCAGTGTAATAAAATTAATGATATTGGCATAAAAATAGACAAATTGCTAGAAGAGAATAGAGAATCCATAAATATTTTAATTCAGTGGGAAAAGGATTTAATAAATGATGCTGGCACAATTGACTATCCATTTGAAAGAAAACTGGACACTATCTTATACCATTTACAAAAATAAACCCTAGTTGTATAAGAGATTTGACTTTAAAAAGCAAAACAATAAAAATCTTGCAAACAGAAATATAAAAAAATACCTGTACTATTTAAAGGAAGAGGAAATCTTAACTAAGACTGAAAACCTAGATGCTATAAAAAAGATAAAAGATAGAATAAACAAATCAAGAGAGAAATAATAGATTTGGAAAGAACATCTATAATTCAGAGTACAAACAGAAAATTGATATATAGATTATATAAAGAGATCTTATAAACTGATAAGGGGATAAGCAGCCCAATAGAAAAAATGGCCAAAAATAATGTACATTAAGAACACAGTGCTGTGGGAACAGTTCTAGTTAAAAAGGATACTACCTTAACTAGAAATTACATGGTATCTATATTTACCTTATATATTACTATATATATATATACTATATTACTATATTTTACCCTATATTGTTCAATACCTTTATACTTCCAGGCTTTTGAGATGACAACTTGAAAAAGAACCAACCTGATAACATAATGGAAATTAGTAACTTAAATGACATATGAGTCTAATATAAAATTGTCAAAAATTAATCACCATGAGCCCAAAAAGGAGGCCAAGTATTTGTTTTTCAAAACTACTTTTCAGAGAAGAGGAAGAAGCCATATAACTGACATTACTCAGCTTCTCTCAATTTCTTTGTTTTGGACAACAAAGTACTGCTAAGGGAAAACACACATAAGCTGGAAACCATCTCATCAGTATTAATTTTGGCCATTTATGGAAAATCAGTTATAAAAAATAAGCAAATAAATCTGGTTATTTGTATTTATTTCTGGGGTGTTTCATCACAATCGCAAGTGTTTCACGTCTTTTTAAATAAGCATTTAAAAAATCACTTTAAAAAAGTAATATAAAACTTCCACTTCTAGAAAAATGGAGTAGAAGTACTTTTCCATAGTCCTCCCATTAAGAAAAACTAAAAATCCTAAATGTTACATACAAAAAAAATACAAGAATAATCTGAATGTTGGAGAGAAGACAGACGAGCTAGGTATGGCAGGACCCAATGAACAACCAACGTGGTGACTTCCCTGGGTTTTCTTTTGGCCTCGTATACCCCAACCTCAGAGCTGGAGAAGCTGGCAACCCAGAAACACTAACTGGCACAGACCAAAAAAACAAAAACAAAAACAAAAATCTCTAGCCAAAGGACCAGAAAAGTGGCAGCAAAGCAAGACAAAAATTTTAGATAACAACCAATCTACCTCAGGCAATTGAGACAGAAAAAACTGCGGCCCTACTCCTCCCCCATGCCAGCAAAGGCTAATGGGAATCCTAGACTTCTGCCATTGAGAAGCTGTAATGAGGAACTCCAGTCTCCCCATGGGTATGTAGATAGCCAGACCTTTATCCCCACTGAGAGATAATGAGGATCTTCCTTCCCCTGTGGAGTCAGTAAGAGAGCAAGTGGGTAGCCTGGATTTCCACATCCACACAGGGGTAATAAGATGTCCCTCCCCGTCTCTGCCAGGGTGGTTTTGGAGGAAGCCTAGAGGGTAGTCAGGGCTTTCACAACCGCCCAGTGCAAATGAGGTATACCCCTACAATATCAGTAGAGGTCAGGTGGGGAATATAAGCAGGCATTCTTGCCTATCCCACCAAGGTGTTATCAGCGGAGGCCTACTGGCAAGCAGAAACACCCACACCTGCCCAACCCCGGGAGCATCCACAGTCACCTTCTCCCTCAGCTGTAATATAGGTCATGAAGGGAACCTGGACTTCCACCCCTACCTGACTGTAACAAGGCAGCAACAATCCCTTTCCACTGTTAGAGCATTGTCAGAGAATATCAGGTAAAATAGAAGAGTTAAATAAGATCCAGAGTCTTATAATACCCTAAATGTCTGAGTTTTAATTAAAAAATCACTCACCATACCAAGAACCAAGAATATTTCAATTTTAATGAAAAAGATAATCAATAGATGCCAACAACAAGATGAAAGATATATCCAAATTATCTGACTAGGATTTTAAAGTAGGCATATAAAAATGGTTTGACAAGCAATAATAAACATTTTTAAGGCAAATGAAGAAATAAAGAGTCAACAGCAAGGAAACAGAAGATATACAGAAGAACCAAATGGAAATATAAGAACTGAAAAGTATACTAACTAAAATTAAAAACTTATTGGATGGGGGCTCAAAATGGAGAAGACAGAGAAAAGAATCACTGAAGTTAAAAATAGAATAATAGAATTTGCCCAATCTGAAAAACAGAGAAAATAGACTGGAAAAAAAAAAAAAAGATGATCAGAGTCTTGGGGACTTTTGGGACTATAAGAAAAGATTTAACATTCATGTCACAAAATTCCTGAAAGAGAAAAAGAGGGTAGGGCTGAAAGAGTATTCAAAGAAATAATGCCTGAAAACTTGCAAAGTTGGCAAAAGACATAAACCTACAGATTCAAGAAGCTGAGTGAACTCCTAACAAGATAAATCCAAAGAAATCCATGCCAAGGTTGTCCGAGTCAAAATTTTGAAAAATAAGGGAAAAGAAAAATATCGTAAGAGTAGCAAGAGAAAAATGAGACCTTACCTGTAGTGGAAAAAGAAGTCAAATTACAGTAGATTTTACATGAAAAAACATGTAGACCAGAAGAAAGTGGCACAACATTTTTCAAGTGCTGAAAGAAAAGAACTGGCAACTCAAAATTCCATATCCAGTGAAAATACCCCCCAGGAATAAAAGGGGAACCAAGATATCTGCAGATGAAGAAAAACTAAGAGAATTTGTTACCAGCTGACCTATCTGATAATAATGGCTAAAGGAAGTTCTCTAAACAGAAAGGAAATCATAAAAGAAAAAAAATCTTAAAACAATAGGAAGGAAGAAAGAACAAGAGAAGAAGTAAAAATATGGGTAAATACAATATTTTCCTCCTCCTCTTGAGTTTTCTAAGTTATGTTTGACAACTGAATCGAAATTATAATATTCAATGTATGTAGAAAAACTATTAAGACAATTATATGTGGGAGAGGTAAATAGATGTAAAGGGAGGTAATGTTTCTATAGGTCACTTTAGATGGTAAGTTGTTGACACCAAGAGATTGTGATAAGTTATGTAGAGCCCCATGAAAAAAGCTATACAAAGTGACACACTAAAAAAAACACAATTACAAATCCAATTGGAATTCTAAAAAAATATTCAAGTAACCCACAGGAAAGCAGGAAGAAGAAAACAGAGAAATAAAAAACAGAGAGAACAAATAGAAAACACAAAATAAAATGGCAAACTTAAGCCCTAATATCAATAATTACATTAAATGAAAATGGTCTAAATACACCAATTAAAAGGTAGAGATTGGTACAGTGGATGAAAAGTCATGACCTACGTATATGCTATCTATAAGAAACTCATTTCAATTATAACAATATGGTATTTGAAAGTAAAAAGATTGAGAAAGATATACCAAACAAACATTAATCAAAAGAAAGCAGGAGTAGCTATCTTAATATCAGATAAAGTAGACTTCAGAGCAAAGAAAATTACCAGGGACAGAGAGAGACACGATATTATGATAAAAAAGGTCAATCTACCAAGAGGACATAGCAATCCTAAATGGGAAGTATGCATGAAACAACAGAGCTGCAAAATACATGAGGCAAAAAATGATGGAACTAAAAGGAGAAATAAACAAATTCACAATTACTGTCAAAGACTTCAACATCTCTCTTTTAACAATTGATAGGATAACTAAACAGAAAATCAGTAAGGATATAGAAGAACTCAACAATACTATCAACCAACTGGATCTAATTTATATTTACAGAGCACTCCATTCAAGAACAACAGAACACACACTCTTTTCAAATGCCCATGGAACATATACTAAGATAGACCATATCTTGGATCATAAAACATACCTCAACAAACATAAATGAATTGAAATCATACAGAGTAGGCTTTCTGATGAAAATGGAATCAAACTAGAAATCAATAACAGAAAGATAAAAGAAAAATCCTCAAACACTTGCAAAGTAAACAACATAACTTCTAAATAATCCATGTATCAAAGAAAAATTCTGAAGGAAAAAAATGAACTGAATCTAATGAAAATACAATATATC